GAAAGTTATACTTTTCGTGCATGCTTGCCTACCAAATTTACTACAATGAGCATGCGCAGCCTCACTTTCTTTTAATGAACAAATACAAGACGAAAGGACGAGTTTAGTAAAAAAGCAATTCCAGGGGAGTCATAGATGCCAGCATCAATCAGGGGGCCATGAAAACAAAGGCAGTGAAGCATAGTACCCAAGTCAAAATGTCGTACTCGTACTTGCGAGGTACTCAGAAAAGCTCCATACGAGTTCGAAGGTGGTGTCGCTCTCTCCAGATCACGATAATCGTACTAGATTATACCCACAGGTCTCAACCAGTTCCAAGTTCGAACCGGAAGTTGCTAATATCACTGGATCTGTATTTTTCAAATGGCAATTTATTAGCGTACTCAAGTACAAAAAAGCTTGTGTTGAAAATGAAACACTTAATCGTTCCAGAAAAGCACATGAAGCACACGACTTGCTTACGACCACTTACAGAGAAACTTTGTTACGGATATCAGAAAAATCGACGATAATTATCTGTCATTTATTTCGTCAGCCAGCCCAAAACACAACACTTATCTTCAACTGAATTATTTTACTGAAACGCATGATAAACTCAGTTCGTAGAAGAGGAAATACCAGATTTGACGCTGGGTAAAGGTATACGAGGAGTGTGTCTGCATGTACGAGTACGATGTAGTCGGTGAAAATAAATGATTGTCGGCAAAAATCCGTATCGATTGTACCGTTCTAGCACACGCTTCGTTTGTACAGTTACACTTGTATTTTTTCCTTTAACGCTTTTTTTGCCAGCTTACTATCGTTCAACGCGTAATTGTCCGTTTCGTTGGCGGTAAGCGTAACTTCCGGCGCGCCCATCTGTCAGGAACTGATATAAATGATTTTTATAACGGCTTAGCCAGTTCTGAAATGCATAACTGCACATGCAGAACAAAGTCGAACCGCAAGGTTTACGAATAAAGCAACACCTGTAGAAAAAATTATATTCCTGTCAAAACTATTAACCTGTTAAATTATAAAACTGTTAAATTTGTAGCACATGGTTTTTTCGTTCTCGATCCACATTACATAACCGCAGGTCCGCAATACTAATAACGTATGAAGTAAATACGTAGTAGTGCCATTAAAAATTAGATACAAAATATGCACAAATAAATACATAGTAATTTGATGCATAATAATAATAAATAAACGCGTACCAGTATCACTATTACGTATTACTGTACATACAGTATACGGTAGTGCAGCCAACACAGTCAACAGTATGAACGATTACTTTATGCGGCAACTAAACAACCTTCAGATCAGCCGGTCCCAGAGAAGTTTCTCGTGACTTTTACCTCGGATCTGCAGCTAGATCTGTTTTGGCGTGATCGACCAAGTCGTCGCTTAAAATCTTGTCGCGGTAGCCGCTTCAAAACATTAATGGCTACTGCTGGAGGTGCTCTACTTGGATTCGATGTACCTACAGCAGAGTAACTCCCGGCCAACGCGGTTATCGAGGGGCTGTATTGTACGAGTACATACAGTACAGTGATGCCCCTTGAGTAGGACGATGCTCCCGGCGCATGGATGCGCTGGGATTTCGGGATTCGGGACAAGTTTTTTCTATACTCGTACTGTATTTGCAGAAACATATAGATACAAAAAGTGGCATTTTTGGCTGTAGTGTATGACTATACGTAGTGGTACAGCGACGTACTAGTACAGAGTACCTCGTCCTTCACGCCATGGTGAGCTTCCTTCCGGCGTATCTACTGTCCATTGTTGTCACCTTGTTTAGTAAATAGTTGTCTGGTTGGCTCCGTAGCGAGCAGCCGTATTAATGAAGTACTGTATACGCCGCCGCTACGTACATATATCACATTGGCTAAATTGTTTGATTAGAACCAAAGAGCTGGAAATAAGTACAGAATTGCACTCCCGGGATACAACAGGCCAGATATACGTAGTGTCATACTAAATATTCGAGATGTTCATGTACGTGTACAATAGATGTATAATAATATATCATGTACATGTGTTATGTACGAGATGTATTCGAGATCATCATGTACTCGTAGTAGTGCACTTACACAAAACTCATATGTGACCCGCTCTGGCGACTAGATGGTTGTTTATTCACATAAAACTCTAGCATTACAACACAGCGTTTTATTCTTGCCGCGAACAAGCGGCTCAGCTGGCCCCACATTTATTCTGACATCCTTGATCAACGGCACGTGGATTTGCAATAATATTTGTAGTATCAATTTCACCGTTTAACAGCGCCAGTGGCTACTCGGCGCGTGGGATACTACCGCTCAATACTGTGTCGGCATCCCAGGCTCCGACTAGCCTACTCGGTAACACAGTAACGGTGTGTTGTAATCACTTTGCAGGAATGTATCATCATAGCGCATCGCAACAATGACGGCGGAAACTAATATCGTAATACTTGCCGAATTCACCTGTGGCATGCTTCCTACCAAAGAAAAAAAGTAAATCGTTTTTTCTCTCCTTGTAGAACAGTAGACATCTGTATACATGCTGTAGACACCCTGTAGTCAATCGGTAGTCACCTGGTTTCTTAGGATGTATACAGGTTGTCTACAGGATGTCTGCCGCTGTATACAGGCAGCTCTTTTCAGGCTCAGCTTGATACTCTGCGTGTATACAGTATACACCGGTAGTTAACTGTAGACAGCCCGTAGACACCACTGTAGACATACTGTAGTCACCTGGTTTCTTAGGATGTATACAGGTTGACTACAGGATGTCTACCGGTAGTCTACAGATGACTACAGTGACGACAAGAAGGAAAAAAGCGTTCAAGTTTTTTTCTTTGGTACGAAACGTTCCACATATATAAAATTACAATTAATGTACACGGTGGCACCCATAGGTATCTCAAGCGTGGGAGAGTTACAAGTCACGAAGCCGAATCGTATTGGGGCTTATGCGGCGAATGGTGGCCGTTGCAGCACGATTTAATTTTACACTAACGATTAAGCATACATCCGGTATCGATAATAAGATCGCTGACGCTTTGTCCCGCTTTCAGATGCCACGATTTCTCATGTTAGCACCAAATGCAGAACCGAAACCAACAGTGGTACCGGAAATCATCTTGCGCGATCTTTACGATTATCACCTGATGCATCGCTAAATTCTCTTGATTTGACTCTCAACAAATTGTGTCATAACCATATTGCGCCGTCTTCTCGAAGAACTTATCAAAGTGCGTTAAACAGGTTTAATGAGTTTTGTAACAAGTTTCGCTTATCTTCCGTGCATATTACTAAACCTACCATATTACGCTTTGTGGCGTTTATTTTTGAAAGCGGCTTGTCGTATTCGTCAGCCAAAGTTTATCTATCAGCTCTATTTAATGCGTTCAGAGAAAGTGATTTGAATTTTGAGTTTAACGCACCGAACATCTTGCAAATGCATGATCGGCTACAAACGCCTTTGCAGTACCGTTACTGACCGCAGACTGCCGATTACCATCGATCATATGAAAATTAATAAAATTAATATCGACAAATCTCCCCTTCTGTCAGTTTTTGAAAAACAGTTATACTGGAGCATGTTTACATTGTGTTTCTTTGCTTTTCTGCGCATCGGTGAAATTATCCCAGCATCTGGCAGCCATTATATTTCTTTTACGGATGTGTCATACGTGAAGGAAAAAGTTCATCTATACCTCCGGTCTTCTAAACCCGATCAATATCGCAAAGGTTGTCGGATTTCATTGCAAGCTTCTGGTCGGTCTGTCTGGGCTGTACGGGCGATGCGGAACTACTTAGCACTTAGGAATAGTCTAAAATGTCTGCACACTGCCCTGTACCTGGCCACTGGCGGCCTTCCGGTCACGAGATCTGCTTTTACTCGCGAGTTATTTTCAGCTCTACAGGGGTTCCCAACGGTCACTTATTTACTCCACACAGTTTCCGGGTAGGGGCCGCTTCCAGTGCAGCTGCTAATGAACATCATTCCACGGACGCTGGAGATCTGACGCCTACGCTTCCTATATACGCCACGAAGTACCACTAACCGGCTTATCGGTCTATCCGAAGCCTTAATTTGGGGCCGTTGTTTGGGGGGTTCGGCTTGCAGGGGAACGGCCAGCTGGCATGCTCCCGCACAACCGCTGCACGGGCATTCGAGACTGCTAAGCTGAGCGGTACAGCGCACCGGATGTGCCTGCTACAGCCCGTTCTCACACAACCGACATCCTACAAAGGCCCAATTCTAGTACCGTCCCGCCGTATGAGAGCGAATGCACATTAACAGTCAGTTCATGTGGAAAATATTTTGGTTTTTCGCCGGGAAAGTTACTGCCACAACTTGAATGGCGATTGAGTAAAAGCAAGACTTGACGTCACCTGATTCTTCAAAGAAATTTGAAAACCGCAATAAGTAAAAATTGTCCAGAAACACATCTATAACCGGTGAAACCATGCATCCGCCGGCCCAGAAGGAAGTTCACCGTAACTGAAACCGTAAATACGTGTCCCTCCAAAAAGCTTTCGTTTTTTAGTTTAACACAATGTTTTTCAATATGACCGGCGAAAATCTCCGATTCAAGACGTCTGCCATATTCTGAGAACAGCGGAATACTGCGATGCCTGGGAGGCCACACCGGTCACATGATTGTACTCTACGGACACTGTATATAAATAAGTATTTTAAAATCGCAACATTCATTCTGCAGATTTTCGCTTATACATAAGTAGATAAAAGCTATTGATAAATTTACTGCTACGCTTCGGTCATACAGTGCCCGCCAGAAGCGAGTGCGATTTCCTAGTATTTTAGGCGGGCACAATTATTAGTCACCGAATAATGTCCGAATTTACGCTGCTCATTTGATAGATATGTAAAATTTAAGCCACGCAACCCAAAACCGATGCCGGTCAAAATGTGGCGCCAAGTTTGTCGGTCGGCTACAATCCTTTTAAGCTAACATGTTGGTACTGTGGTTTTGAAATAAAACGCCAACGTGCTCAAATGGATAAACCGTATTTTATTTCTGAACCCAATAAAGTAGCACGCGTGAAACTCAATAGTTAACCCTAATGAATACTCTGAAATATTTGTAGAAAGGATACTCACCGAAAAAAGCTGATGTCGCAAAAGTTAAAACTGTTTCACACAGAGTGCAGCCGTTTGCTTATCAGGACAGCGAATGCGAATACAACTTTGAAGATCCAGCTGTAAAACAACTAACTCGTGTTCAGCACGTGCCATTTGCTTTCTGAGCGGCAATTCCACATAATAGCCGCTTTTCATTAATTTTTCGTTTGCGGACAACTGGCATCGTTGAACAACGACAGTACGGGTAGCCGTATTGATTTTCTTGACCGTAATTATGCTTGGCTTGTAATCATCCATCGACGCAGTAATGGGAATGCTGCTGTCCATTTGATCCGATACCAGGGCCACAAACGTATGCGAGGATGCCCATGCATCTTTAGATTCACCTTCTTTGTCTGAATATAAGTTGTAGGCTTAGAAATAAACAATGATATAAAGAGCCATAAGAGTTGTAATTTGTTCTGTTGTTCTAACTGCCGCATATCTGAATTTAAGTAAACTAAATGACATTTGCTGGTACAAGTAAGAAGAAGAATATACAAGGGTATACAAGGGTGAAATTCTGTACCTACGCCATGCACTTAATTTGAGCAAAATGTAGTTCAGTGTCCCGTGTACAGTGCCGCAGATACAGTAGCCGGCAGATATATTGGCCTGTTGGCTGTTGGCGAGCCCGGCAGGAAAGTGGTTTTTCTCCCATAATTCTGCCGAACTGCGCCCACAATTCTGCCGACCCGACCCTATGTATTGCCTATGGGGACACCAATATATCAGCCGAACCGGCTCAAAGTGAAATTTGATACCTTTGTTGAGCGCAAGTCTGCAATAGCCCGGCCGGGCTGTATCATGTTCACCATACAGCCGCCTAAGCTTATTGCAACGGCATTAAAGAGAGAGAAGCGCGCGATTTCTCTTGCACCGTGTCTGATCTTTGCAGGAGAGCGTTTCTGCTGAGTCCATTCATGCACAGAAATCATCGCAAAAGTATAGTAAATTATCGAGTAAGTATATTAATTATTTTTTCTACAGTAAATAACCATTTTGTTTATGCCTACAATCTATGGATGGTGTAAGTTTTATCCTTAGACAGTTTGACTTAAAAATTATTTCGTATTTCATTCGGCAATAGTAAGTGTACAAACGAAGAACAGTAATTTTGTGCCAGCCCGAATGGAACTGTAAACGAAAGAAAAGCGTTTACCTACTTAAATTAAATACTTACAAAGCATTACTGTACTTTATAGTTTTCAACATATGAGCAACATACTAGGGAAGTGCACCGCTGTTTGCTAGCACTAAAAGACCGAAGCGAAGCCCGAAACAGAATTAAACATCAAGTTGCAGCAGCCTGTTTCTTTACTATCTGTGATGTCCGTAATAAAAGGATGAACAATGCATATCGGACATCATTATTGATATTTTTTTTATAAGTTTAATAGAAATGGTGCGCCTGCCCCAGCTTTTGATTAAATCATTTTTTTGAGTGATAGTTTTCTCTGCTTAATGGTTGCAGCCTGTTCATGCGGGTAAACTTAAGTGTCCGGTGGTTGGAACGGGAACTGTAAACTCAAAGTGGCCGGGATAAACAAACTCGAAGTATGGAGGAACGCTTTCTCGCAAGCTATTCTTTGCGCGCTCGGTTAGCGCTATGGTGTAGTCCAGCCGGTGCGATAGCGCGTCTGCGGACAGCCGCTTGCCGGTCCCGGCGCTGACTGGATCCGCTGCTCGGACTACAAATTCGCTCTCCTCTCGCTTGGCGGATATTTTGATGATTTTTCGTCATCTGGCACATCGTTTCTTCGCTTACTTCTAGCGAACGGGTGACCTTTGCGACGGTAGTGGGCGGCACAAAGCTGAACCCCTTCGGTTCTGCTCTGGTGGTCACACAGAATGCGACTTGCTAATTTAAGCCCTTTTGAAACCTATAATTATTGAAGTTGTATTGCGTCACGCCGGTTCAACGTGACCTTTAATCCAAATAATCCATAAAAGCAACAATCGATAAATTAATTTAGGGCTTCACTATCAATATAGTCGCATTAGTCGGTGTGACCGACAGAAGTTTAAGAGCGTGACCGACGTGCGTGACCGACGGACACAAACTCCTGTTTTCTTGAACATAGAGGACCTCCGCTTTGCTTCGGTCGATAATTATGTACATAGTGATACTTGGACGTATATGTTAGGAAGACCGCCGCAAATAATTTGTTTAAGCACAAATAGGTATAATAATTGTAGTAGCGATGGTTGACAACAAACTCATTTGTGTTGCAACAAAATAATTACATACAAGTTATCATTCAGTATATAAACGAAGCTTGTTCATTGTCGTTGACAATTATTATACCTATTTGAGCTTAAACAAATAATTTGCGGCGGTCTTCCTGTCAGGGTGCTGCATTTGCCGTTAGTAGATTCAACTACGGAAATCATGATCATATTATGCAGTTTCGTTAATTAATTAACTTGGACCTATTTACTACGAATTATACGTATACGTCCAAGTATTACTATGGACATAATACTATGCTATCATCGTATCATGTATGATACAATCAACAAGTTTCATTTATACACTGGATGAGAGTCAGCGACAATAATACCTATATATTATTACAGACTAACACGGTTATTGTAATGGCTGTTTCTTCACAAGAACTTGGACATTAAACTGCTGTTACGGCAGTTTATATGCCTAGTTTATATACATTTCTACAAGATACTTTTTTCAGACCTATCTAGTTGCTGTTTGTATGTTGTTGCTGTTGCTATCAAAGCTAATTGGGCATCGGCGACCTTTTGCCACGAGTTTTCAGCTGCATAAACCAGCCACTACACAAATTATTCAAATCCCCACTTTTTCAAACCTTTTTTTATCCCCTTGGAAATGACAACCGAATCTCATTAAATGTGTTCTGTGTATAATCAACTTTTCGAATGTGCAACATTAAAAAATTTGAAAGCTGTTGAGATGTTACAATATCCCCGCTGGTACAATATCCCAATCAACAGTATGTCAAGCTGCAAGGCTCCCACGGACAGTTGAAGCCGGCAAGCACTCATCAAGAATATCGAGTTTCACTGTTGTACCGGTTCGGCAGATATATTGGAGTTCCCATAAACAACGCATAGGGTCGGGTCGGCAGGAATATTGGCGCAGTTCGGCAGATCTATTGGTCGTTATTTGAAAATTACTTTTTAATTTTGGGTGTAATTTTGCATGACATCCACCAGTTAAACTGACAGTATGTTGCCATATGTTGACAATTTTTAACTAATACTTCTTATAAAACTTTTTTATTTCGTTTACAGTTGCATCAAGCGCAGGCATATAGAATTAGTTTGTGCAGTGGTTAACACTGACGTTTTTGGGTGTTTTTTCAATTGCTTAAATGAGTCATTTTAATTGTTGCACAGCGCGCAGGCATTTTTTGTTATGTAGTGGGTATTGCCGAATAAAGTAGGTGGTAATTTTTATGTAAGACTGTCTAAGGATAATATACACCATCCACAGTTTGTAGGTATAAGCAGAATAGTTGTTTGGAAAAAAATAGATTTATTAAATCTAATTAATTTACTATGTTTTGCGATGATATCTGTGCAGTGTGCATGAATTCACACTTAGCAAAAAACTCCTGTGGGTACATGATACAGCCCGGCCGTGCTATTGCAGGCTTGCGCTCAACAAAGGTATCAAATTTCACTTTGCGCCGGTTCGGCTGATATATTGGAGTTCCCATAGGCAATACATAGGGTCGGGTCGGCAGATTTGTGGGCGCAGTTCGGCAGAATTATGGGAGAAAAACCACTTTCCTGCCGGGCTCGCCAACAGCCAACAGGCCAATATATCTGCCGGCTACAGGCGGCCAAGTCTTAAACGATGAGCGAGTGTCTTTTCGACAACCTTTACTGCTCATTGCTCATAAGTGGGATTCCCACTTCGGCTGTAGCGCGTAAAACATCTGACAGCTTCAAAGCAGTCGCGTTCTGCGGCTAGCGTAGTGCTACATTCTGATGGCCGTTAACCGCATGTAAACAAATTGTTTAATTTACAGTAGGCTGAGGCTTTTAATGGACAACGTAATTACTGTGGTCACTACCGTACTACTTCAGACTAAAGCCTACAAGCGCAGGTATTGTTACCAGAATTCCTCTGGGTAAAAGCATATCATACGGCATAACTATTAAAAGTCTAAAAGTCTGGTCAGTAAAAGTATGGTGCAATATAGTTTTACGGCCAGAGAGAGGCTCGACTTGAAGCTGCAGCATGCAGGCTTACCGTTAACTGCGTCGGGAAACGTATTCACCATCTCTCCTAGGCGGATTTGGTAATCGTCAAGAAAAAGTCTGTATTCGTCTGCCCGATCAGCCTTAAAATATAATGTAGCCCAGGCCATGCTCCTGCTGTTCGTGAAAGAAGTTTGAAACTGCAGGAAACTTCTTTTTGCTTGAGCGGAATTCCAAAATATAAGTTGCACGTCTTTGGCAATTATAAGTCGCATGAAGACGATATCTTGCCGGGCTGATTTATATTCAATTTCAATGTAGTGAAGTTGTTTACTGCCCGCTAACTTCGTAGAAAGTACAAGACTGGATCCAGGCAACGCAACTGCATCCTTTATGTTACCCATGTACAAGGTGCCCGACAGAACCAGGGATTTCCTTTCATTCACAAAAATATCGCTTGCTGCTTCTTCCATCTTAATCTGGCTGTTCGCGGCAGGTGTTAAAGCTCCGAAAATGTTGTGCGTGTTAAACGCCAGGCCTTCCTGTAGACGAAAAAAACGGTGATTCTCTTTAGAATATTCTATATTGCCAGTGAGGTAGCTCGCTATGGCAGCTCCAAAGCATTCAGCGTCGTCGACATAACTCAGAATCCTCGAGTTAAGAGGTTTTTGAAACATGCTTTCTAAAGCGTTGCGGAGTGGTAAAAGTCTCGAACTTTCTCCGACCAATAAAATTTCGATTTTCCCAAAGCTTGCTGGAGTTTTCGCATCCATGATTCCAAATTTCATTAACTCACGCTTTATGCAGCAAGTGATTTCAGCAATGCAATGGACTGCTGCTTGATCATACGTGGTTTTCGTTATAACGGTTTCAATGTCCTGAAAAGCAGCAGGAATGGATATCTTTTGTGTAAAAGGGTCATTGAACAGCGTGAGTTGCTCTTCCCATTCAGCCTCAATGTCCAGCTTCTTTGCGTCTTTCAACGGACGCATGCCGGCCTGCTGAAGTTGACCATGGATCATATTTAGTAGCTGACGGCGCAACTTACTGAAACATCCCCACACAATATTTTTATCACTATGATATTTGACGAGAAAATTATCGTGGGCAACTTCAAAGACGTCCATCTGAAAGTTATCAAAATTCGCATTGCACACTATCAAATTAAAGCTTTCTTCTCCGCTTTTGGAAAATTCCTGCCGATCGGCAGTCTGAGCTATAAAACTTAAAAGAACTCCCGACGTATCAGCAAGGCACAGCACATCGTTAATACCGTTCTGAATCCATGATTCCACAATCAGGTCGCAGATGCCGCTGTTATGTTGCAAGCCATGTGACAATACTACGGTAACCCCTCGTAGCTGGCGCTTCGTTTCATTTTCAGCAACTCGTTTGACGTATCCAAATAGCTGTTTCATCAGTAGCGGAAATATAGCTTCCTTTCCTCCACGTCCGTAGGCCAGCAACATATGCTTAACAGTGGGAATATATAAAAACCGTTCATCCCGCCTGTAGCTGCGAGATTCAGTTCCAAAATACCACTCGGCACGGTCCTGACTGTAGGCAACACCAGGTGCTAGGCTGGCCACTAGACGAGGCACCCCACCTTCATACACAGCAACTGAAATGCTTTTATATCCAATTTCCACTCCTAGCCTCATTGTTCCTTGCAAACATTAAGAGTCATTTTTTCACCTTTAACGTGCAACATCTGTACTGCTGGCGGCAAAACGCCAGCAGTTATACGTTATAAAGTTTTCATACATCGAAAAAAATATTCACAACACGTATCTGCAGTTGATGCATTTTCATTTCATGTGATCAAAGCATATAACATATAATAATAGTATTGTACTTGTGCATAAAAGAAGTTTTTCTTGCCCCTAAAATGTGTCACGATTAAAAGGCGAATGAAGCATTTGAGCTGCTGAAGCCTGAATGTGTCATCCGTATGGCACATGTGGTACTACTAGTTAATGAAAAACCAAATGGGAAAGCATCCATGCCTCTACATTATTTTAAATGCCGCTTCTGTTCTAACCGGGCCCGTACTGCAGATTTAATTAGCAGACTTACTGCAGTGCATGTGCCATGTGGTTGTATGGCGTATGTGCACTTGGCTTCCTGAACTACCACTTCCCAGTGATTTTTAATCCGCATGCATGTATGTGAACGCACAGAGACGAAGCATTCTCATTCTCTGTAAGGCTATGCATAAGCCATACCCCTTGTTTTCACTTCTGAACCAAAAATTAGGAAACGGACTGTCATTTGCGGTTACATAATATAAACAGGCGTTATCTTACCAACAGCGGGTACCAGAAAAGAAAGTGAGTACTAATTTACTCCCAATACCAAACTGGGAGTACGAATTTGGCATTCCTCGACAAAAAAATTTAATTAAGAAAAATTGTTTTTTGCGGATTTTTTCTGACCATCGGCCAAGCAGGACACCACGATGCCAGAATGGCACGTATGGGAACTGCGCCAATAGGAATGGTATAGTTCTACTCAAATAGTAAATTCACAAAAAACTGCACAGAGACTTGGCGTAGCTTATATGCATAAGAGCATGACAAGAGCTCTGCCGCTGAGTAACTTGACTGGTCAGCAAGATGACACATGTTCAGCGCAAATGAAAATTACATACAGTGGAACCTCCGAGTTTGAACACATAATTGCTGGAACCACAGAACTAGTTTCAGAAATCGATGCTATTGGTGTACTGACCGGAAGTTTTCATGTGTCCTCCTTAATCTCCATTGACTGCTTTTGGATCAACTGGATATTGTGACTGCTTGGACTTTGGCAGAAATGGTTGTGATTACGTATAGTACAGACAGGTCCCTGTTTCCCATTAAAAGTAAATATTTCTGATGTTTTATTTCTCAGCATTAAAACCCCTCGTAACGTTTAATAAACATTTAATTAACTAACTCTCTCATTCTGCTTTTCTGCAATTTTTTTTGCAACTAAGAGGATGTCGTGAAACCACCGCATGGTTTCAGTTTTTTAATTATTGGTGCTATCATTACTGCATCAGTCTGTAGTATGCCCTCCAAAAAAGCAAAATTAAAGTGCAATATGCCCTTTACGTGTGCAATATGTGTTTTATTACAGCACTGAACTTCGGTTCGCGAATTGCTTTCAGCCGGCCCGGGAGGTGGCCAGCAGTGGACGTGAAATACGCAGATGAACATGAACGTAAGAAAATGAAAATTTCGGTTGGAGTTTACCAAAGTCAGTGTATTTTAACGAGTTTTTATTATTTTTCGCAGCATGGTCTGTTTTCCAGCAAACGATAACGATTAAAAAAACAGAAACAAAAACGACTGTCTTTTTCTGTGGACACCGGAAAAGTCGAACCTGTGATTGCTTGCCATCTTGTGCGAGCTGCAGATGCAAGACATATCTGCACATAAGGGTGTGGACATATTAAATTTTAGTTAATAGAACAAATTTTTCTAACATATTCCTGCTGCAGCTTTTGCAACCTGTGTGTCAACAGAGTGGCAACAGACTGCGTTATTATTATATGTAGATACTACGCTTTTTCTCATAATCCGGCCATTTTGAGTGTATGGTTTCATATTTCGGTCACCAGGTAGTTAAATTTCTTGACAAAACGAAGTTAACAGAGAACATTAATTTTATAAAAACGGCTTCTCTCATTAAATTTGAACGTAAACATCAATAAATTTTTATGAGAAACAGAACAAATAACAGAAGCTCTGAACCGGGAGAGACGCAAAATTTTGCGCCTTTCCGTCTGTAAAATTCTACAAATGAAATTTAATGGACCTTTGAAAAGTGTGAGGGTGGGGTGGGCTTGCTCAGCGAACTGCACATTTGACGGGTGGCTAAACTTGCAAAAATAAGCCGCTAAAGGCAGTGCGATCAGCAGCATATTCAAGTAGTGCGTCACATGTGTGGTCGCACCAGTGACCGGTGACTGAGATATGAAACCATACGCTCAAAGTGACCGGAATATGAGAAAAAGCGAAGTATTCACTTATCAATTCCATGCACTTGGTAACTTGAGTCAATAGTCGTAAGTCAGTATTCACCTGTGCTCACTGCTCAGCCTGTTTGCTACTCTATCAGACATGTCATGCTTCCTGTTTCAGGATACTATCTGAAGTACTACGTAGTACTGTGTCACTATTGACAAATGCTGCGCGCTAGCACCAATTTATTACCAAATTTTTTATTGAAATACGCGTACAAATATATGACCACATTTTATATTGGCTTGATACGTAGTTTTCGCAAATTTAGTAAACTTACAGTGTAAATCCACAGGGATTAAATGGAATTTGGAAATGCCAAGTACAATCGAAGTCGAACTGCAGTATTACAATGGACAGTGAAGCTAGCTGAACGCAACGAAAAACGGCACAATCGTGCTGCTAGGATAAATTGAAATCGTCGTTGGAAGGCTGAAAAGATGACACTTCCAAGTTTCGTCCATTTAGATATACATAATTATTTGGACATCGCTAAAAGAAATGGTTAACCAGTATCAATCGTTCGAATCCAGCTACTTGTGCAGAGGGTTACTCAGATACGGAGAAACTTGAATGCACAAAATAGGTGACTCTGACACGCCTGTTTTACGGATAAACAAGTGATAAGTGTAAGAGGTCGCAGATAGCGCATTGTCCAATAAATTTGGCCGGTTTCATAATGCGATCACGAAAGAATGGTTTATGTTAGTAAGTAATGTGCGTTGGAACTCTGTTATCTAGCGCCATTCATTCGCAGGCGCATGTCGCAATTATGCACAAATAATAAGGTAGAACTTAGATATCGGTATGGGAATGTTATCTGTTAATAATAACTGGGTTCGGCGAAACATGAATTACGAAGTGTTAGATAAGGCGTTCACATATCCAAAGTGGAGCGCAATGTTATCGGGTAACTGTAGTCTGTAGCTGTTCGCACCTTTTTTTAAAACCGTGAGCGTGCTCCCGATAGGCGGGACAAGTGAAAATTTTGCTCTTTGTCTAATTACTCACTAACCTGATGGGTGGTTAGTATCAACTTCCAGTATTTGTGCGAGCGAAGTATTATATAAGCCAGTTTTCGCGTTCAGGAAAGCAAGTAGCGTGCAGTTGCGCTGCTGTTTACATATATAACTCAAAAATCGCATGTCGCAGTTTCACAAAAGTAAAGTGTAATAAAGATTCGCAACTATAAATCGTTGGCTTTGAAAACTGTTGAAGCATATCATGGCTGACGGAGTAGGCATCGACCTGGGCACCACACACTGCTGTGTATATGTACAGAGACCTAATCGCGTTGCCCAACTTGTAAAAAACAAAGAAGGAGACAACACTACGCCTAGCTGGGTGCGTTACGAAGAGAACGGGATTACTGTCGTCGGAAAATCTGCCAAAAAGCAGAGTCCCAAGAAAGCCAACAGTACAATTCGCAATGCCAAAAGATTGATTGGACGCGGATATTCTGATCCTGCTGTGCAAAGTGAAATTCAGCGCATGCCCTTTAAAATATTTGAGGACAGCGGCGTGCCCGTCATACAGGTACAGATGAACTTCTTTGAAGTTATTTCTTAAAGTAACTGCTGCGTAATTAAATTACCCTCGCGAAGTAAGCGTCTGATCAGTCTAGGTACTCCTAGTAGCTACATATGTAACAACTGTAAATACTACAACAATTGAGCTGTCAAACGACGAACGAAAAATCCCTTTGTAAAAACGCTGCAGTGAGCCGCATTAAACACAGCTAGTACGGGTAGCCCGCGACCCCCGTGGGTTGAGCATTTCCAGTTTGCCACCTCCGATAACAGCTGTTTTTTCAATTTTGGTTGATTAATTCTACTACAACGCGATGTAGATTGTGGTAGCCGTACCCCTCGCCATGGACTATCACAGTACCAAGATTACTTTGTACGTGTAGCACTTTACGAAAGCAAATTGGTCCCGATAACATTGTACAATACACCTGTAATTGAACAAAGCGAAACGAAGGTCCATTATGACAAGAAAACGGTAGTTTAACGTTTAACTAGTCACACTGCTTGCGCAGTAATAGTTTTCAATAAAAGACGAAAAGAATTTTTAATAACGTACCATAAAATGAAGTATCAAAGAAAAAAGGAAGCTTTTTTATAACAATATACTGAGGAAAATCAAAGTGAAATTACTTTAATAGGATTAGGCTATAGTTATCGAATTAACACAAGGGATAAGCATGGACACATTGCTTTACAGTCAAAATTTAAACAATAGCATAATTTAAACAATGAAAATGGGGTTAACGAATAACAGCTTGCAATAGCTTTAAAATTAGAAAGATGTTTTTAATTTTTGCTGTTTAGTTTACGCAAGTAACTGTTCGAATCAGTAACCGGTGGAACATGTGCCTTTTACAGACTCCATTGCGTTATATGAGTACTTATTTCGCTCGTTACAGTAATCGACTTTCATGACGCTACGCGATGAACATTCATTTATCAACAATTATGGATAATCTACTTATTATTAGGGTGGAAATAGGTGACACTGAAAACATAAAAAAAACAAAAAATTTTAAGAAAACATAGGAAAACTTGCGAAAAAAAGCGTACACAGCTAATTTTTAGATGGAACAATTGATTTTTATTTATCATCAAACATCTTTGGCAAAACTGCCAAAAATGTTTCTTGAAAAATGCTTTTTTCCGATTTTGAGAGTGAAGAACATTTAATTTCTTAAACTTTTATACCAAAGAGATTCACTGACCTGTATATATTGAATTAAGGGGGTTAATTTATAATAATTACTTACATAAAATACCTTCATTTTTAAGTTTTAACTACTGTAAATTGCCAATTACAAGATCATAGTTATGTCAAAAGTAAAAGTGCTATCAGATAGCATACTTTTTACTTTATCGCATCCACTACAGTAGTGTTTATACAGATGCATTTTAAATTCTAAGATTTAAAAAGTGGAAAAACACATATTTAAATATACTTGTTTTACAAACAGTATCTAATCATGCCAGAACTGGCCTCAGCTGGTGTAGCATACTTTCCACAATGGTAGGAAGCGGACTTCGGCCTACCACAAACAAATGAATTTCAAATGAATTTTGAAGTGCTCCAGGATGCCAAATTGATCACCTTACCGATATATCGGCACACTTTTACAAAATACAAAAAAAAAACAGGTTACCAAAATCCAATTTCCTACGTCTTTAGACGGCGGTCAGCTTTACTTGACCGCTAGACGGCTAATAATACCATCGCTCGTCTGACTGCTCGACAGGAAGCAGACAGGCGATTGTAGCCGGCAGGAAGGTTGATGAGTTGATGGTTGATGCTCAATGAAGGTCATCAACCTTTCTCTAAAGGTCATCAACCTTCCTGCCCCACGTGGTAAACCTTTCTCTAAAGGTCATCAACCTTTCTGCCAGACGTCGTCAACCTTTCTCTAAAGGTTATCAACCTTTCTGCCAGACGTCGTCAACGTTTTTCTAAAGGTCATCAACCTTTCTGCCAGACGTCGTCAACCTTTCTCTAAAGGTCATCAACCTTTCTGCCAGACGTTTTCAACCTTTCTCTAAAAGTCATCAACCTTTTTGTAAGGGGTATCCACTTTTCTGCAAAGGTCAGGAGATTGGTGGTCGGGTTTTACCACGTAGAAAGTAGAAACACAACATTATCTTAAATGTGCTGAAGATGCCTCACAGCACCATGCCACCAGTCAGCTACATTTCAATTGTTTCATTTTGATTTGTGAGTAAAACACACTAACTTTATCTAGTCTGAGTAGTACATTAATGCGAAAATGCATGTCTCTACTGCGCTTCCATGTCTATAACTGTCTTACTGAAAGGATAAAATTAGTAAGATCTTAGTTGTTAATCCCGACCAAATTACTAGCGGCACAAAAGTACGCTGTAATTAAGCCGTATCAAGCAGGCGGCATTCAGAAAGCGGAAATGAGTAGAGTAAGACGAAATGGGCAGTTGGGCATCCAGCATAGGACGCTTTGCGGCGGGCACCATTTATAAAATTTGACCCTAGAATCTGTTCGATCTGGAAAAACGCTATTTTTTTTACTCTCAAAATGCCCGAAGCACTGACGTTCTATATTTTGAGTTAAAAACACTAGTCTACAGAAAAGCAACATGGAATGTCCAAGTTAGGACATTAGAGGTTCTATGGGAATGAACCTATAGACCAGGACACGAGTGGTTCACTTGGTTCTGAACCAATTAGGATTCAACAACCTAGGTGTAATAAGAACTGGCACCTATGGAACCACATAGAACCACCGTTGAGCCACCATCGAAGCAAGCGCAACCTCACTCATTAACAAAATATTAAGAAAATTTGCTTAATGGTGGTTCTATGTGGCTCTATAGGTTCACCTGGTTCAAGGGATAGAGCGGTAATGTGACAGTGTGCCGGCAAGAGAACTTGTGCTCAGCACTGAACACAAAGTCCCTGCAGTATGGCTTCGGCCACTCTGAGCGCATAATTATTATTACGACGCATGGTGATTTCATATGACCAAAATGTCTCCAGATGCACACCATGGCGCCATTTTTAATTCAATGGATAACAGAAATTTTAAGAAAGTAAGTGTTAAAAAACCTTAGACAGATAAGCAGTGAGCAGAAAGATAAATGGATTATTTACGTTGTGCAGCTACGACGACGACCTTTAGAGAAAGGTTGATCAGAAAGGTTGATGACCTTTAGGGAAAGGTTGATTATCTCTGGCAAAAAGGTTGATGACCTTCATTGAGCGTCAACCATCAACCCGTCAACCTTCCTGCCGGCTACAGGCGATCAGTCTCGCGCTGTTAATTTGCCAGCAGCGCCTGTTGTAAGTCTTTATGGCAGCCTTCGCAAAAAAATGCATAAGAACTGAAAGACTCATCCGTTCTCCGATATTTCACTTGTTTCAAATAGAGGAATGTTTCTTCAACAAGGATACAGTCAGCACAGAAAATCGTAATTTAGAAATGCGGTTCTTGCTATAAATGAGTCCCCCTTAAGGAAGCTTCTTTGTTAAATTTTGGACGCAAATTTTTTTCTTGAATGACTAGACAAGACTGGGTACAATTTACACCGCCACTGTATGGCTCAAACTCAATACGCGCATGAAGTAAGAACGACTGCTATTAAATGCTGTTAAATTACTGTACACGTATTCACGTTTTTCTGCACCCATTTTGATCTTGGGCCATCCCGGTAAACGATGCATACGAGGTAGATTTTTAAATTACTACAATGTCATTGAAGATTAATAGCCAATAGGTGATGAAATCTGTTATTGACTATCAGTTAGAAAATAGCACATGTACTCTGTAACTAACGTAGTCGGTGATGTTTGTAAAAACATGATAATTATGATTGTGTCTTCAACGAGGTAAAATTGGTTGAGTTTAGTTTCCCGCTTAGTACCAGATAAGTGTCAGCGGTCATTTAGTGCCAGCCAACTACGGTGTACTTCATAATTCATATTATCTTTTATTTTGTTAATTTGCTTCATTCGGTATACAGGCAAAAGGGTTGTCCGCAGAAGGGAACTCTGAATGGAAGAAGAATATCCGTCCTGAAGAAGTCAGTGCAACTTTATTGAGCTCATTAAGAGAAGGGGCAAGACAGTTCTTGGGTACACCAGTGTCCAAGGCAGTGATCACCGTTCCAGCCAATTTTAAGGAACATCAGAAGTCAGCGACAGTAAAGGCCGCTACTTTAGCAGGTTTCAGTGATGTAAACCTACTACACGAACCAACTGCAGCTGCCATCGCCTACGGCGAAATGCTGAATGAGCAGTGCACTGTAATGGTGTTTGACTTCGGTGGAGGTACGTTGGACATAACGATCATGGAGGTTATTGCTCGGAAAAAATACAAAGTTCTTACTACGGATGGCGACATGTATTTGGGTGGTGAGGACTTTGACAACGAGATCGTTAAGTATTTTTTGTCGGACATCAAAGCTAAACATAACCGTGATTTTTCAAAGGACAGCAAAATACTGGCCACTCTGAAACTTGTTGCGGAAGAAGCAAAAATTGCTTTGTCGGTTCCGAATGCCCAAATATATCGAGACAGCATTGATGCATTGGAATCAGTACTCGGCAGAGAATATGAAGCCGTTCTTACCAAGACCAGTTTTGATAGCATGTTTGGATCACTGCTAGAAAACATCATTAAACCGGTGAAACGAGCCCTGGAATCGATTGATTATTCTCCAGCGGATATTAGTAAAGTAATCATGGTTGGTGGTAGCAGCAAACTGCCAGCTGTGAGACATCACCTTGGGCGCTTCTTCGGCCGAGACGACATTGTCTGCGCCGATGTAAATCCTGACGAGATGATTGCACGTGGAGCCGCAATGCAGTCCTACCTTCTAAATAACAACCTGTCCATCACGGTTCAAGAGACTACGCCGTTTTACTACGGTTTGAAGCAATATGACGGCAGCATCTCTGTTCTAATTCCCATTAGGACAGAGTACCCGTGCAGTTTCACCAAAGTTTTTGTAACAGCAAAGGATGATCAAACTGGCGTTTCATTTAAAATCTTTCAGAGCAAATGCGGGTTTGCTCTGGACAAATATCAGATTGGCAGATTCGACATTTCAAACCTGCCGGCGCGGAAGAAAGGGGAGTGCAAGTTTGATGTCACCTTCGAGATCAACGCCAACAATCTTCTACATGTTACCGCGCAAGGCAAAGGAACCATTGCTCATTGTAAAGATAAAATAGTTATTGATGTCAAACCCACCTATTAAAAGCAATGGATTTACTGGGAAAACTTGCAAGCCAGTTTTTTAGCAAACGCTTATACTGTCAATCGCAGGAGAAAATGGTCGAAATTGTTTTAGAATTTTGTAGTTGTTTGGTTTTGTGTAAGAAATTTCATGATTTTGGTTTCGCTGGAGCCGCTTTATCAAATTTGTTATCAAATTACCATTCAGTACTGAAAATTCCTAGTTCTGTGTTTTCGTTGGCTTGCAAATCGCCATGCTTTGATGTTGAAAACTGAGCAAAATTTTGCGAATTCTTACGAGTAATAAATTCAGATAAAACAAAAAATTTTCCCAGGGCAAGACGCCGGAATCATTAGAAAATATATACGAGGAAGTGATAAAAGAACTCGATGCTTCCGAGGAAGGGGAAACAGAACTCGTTATCCGTAACCAGGCCTGTGCAATACGGCCAGCCACCAAGAGACGGCAACTTGTTCTACAACGCAAAATAGCTGAAACAGCCGTGGAGACCGATAGCTGGTTTTTTCTCCAAAGACTCATATGCTAAACAAAATCACTTGTGTCTTACACATTTCGAAAGAATAAGGAAAAAATCGAAAGATTTTTGATACCAAGAAAGTTATTATAAAGTGAACTTTAATCGCATTATGCACCATGGCGAGCTTCGCTCAATAAAAATCACTCAAATAAAGAATTTGTCCCAATTAACATGAGATGGGACTGTACACAAAACACTCATAGCATTGCCACGCATTATTTCCAAGCTCAAACGTTGAAACAAAAAACAGGTAGAACGAATCTCGCCGGTCCTCATAAACAATTTCTTACCAATCTCCTTTAACAAGACAATTGTTTCCTCACAAAAAGTTCCAAATGTCTCGCATGCAACTGGGACAAAATAACAGCGATCCGTAAGAGACTTATACTTCCCCATCTTCTCAGTGAAAGCCCGTTCGGCAGCTGCGCCAGCGCACTTTGAGGTCGCGTCGATGTACGAATCCGCCATCGTGTCTCTACAGGTCACGTCTGTAACCGGCAAAATCGTCCGGACGGATGAACCGTCCGCCGGACGCTTTTGCCTGTAAGCCGGCAAAACCGTCCGGCGGTCCAAGAAAACGTCCGCCGGAAATTTTGCCCACCCAGGTTTTTATGCTCTATTCGATCTTGTGCACGCCCCAGAGTGCATATTCGGGGGCGGACGGTTTTGCCGGAGTGCATATTCGAGGCGGACGGTATTGCCGGAGTGCATGTTCGGGGACGGACGGTTTTGCCGGACTGTATATTCGGGGGCGGACGGTTTTGCCGGTTACAGTTGCCTTTTAGAGTAAGATTTTCAATATAAAGGGCTATATATTAGTATGCTGATGCCAAGTATCTCGAAACAAAACCAGAAAGGCTGCTCAGCTAAAATCTAGTAGAGAAAACAAGTAGAAAGGCCTCAAATACCCGTGGTACTCTGCAGCAATCCGGATCTTTTCTTCGTCGTCAAAAACAACGAGAGGATATCCACAACCATCTGGCCCTTTCGATTTTCCGCCGGAAAAGTAGAGCTTTCTTCCGATTACGGCAAAGTTTCCTCGGCGACGACGGATAGCACGCTTTTGAGAGTCTGTCGGGCCATCTGGATACCGATTTGACGTCAAGAAAGTGTGAAGAGCTTTCAGATCGCAGTGCATGATGATATAATTATCAGTTAGGACAAGATAAATTTTCTTCCAGTTAATCTTTTTGTTAGCTAAACAGACGTAAAACCTTATTGCTGAGAACCAGTGATTTTCTTGTTAATGCACAAGGAACAAGATGCTGGTCCCACATTCCCGGTGGCGAAATCCCTCGCCACATCTTAAGCCAACACACAAGTGAAATGTCGATTGACGATACATATTTGAAGCAACTAGAATTTCGTTTACTACCCAAGACGTTTCAGTAAACAAAAAGCAATCAAGCCAAAAGTCATCAGCCACAAAAACTGTTTGATAGTGAACGTATCCTGCGACTGGTTACAATCAAGTAGCAGTCACCCCAAAGAACCCGTTATCTCATACTAAGTTATCATGTACTGTAATTAAATATTACCGGATAGCCACAACCCACAACCTTTTTTAGACTACGTTCAAGTTCAGCGGTTGTTAGAGGGCCTACAACAGCTTTTTAATGCACCTTTAACGCACGTATTAGACGGACGAAAAAACTAATCAGAATGGATTCCGTTTCAGTGCATAAAATTTAAAATGTTTATTCTGTATGATCTCGTTCAGGCATATTACTAAGTGTGTACTGGACGATGCCGATTAAATCGCCAATAATTTAGTAAGCAAACTACGTTCCTGGGCGCAACAGTGGAAATTGCAAGTTTCCATTATTGAAATAAAAAGCTGTCACTGCCTGTGGGAATCGCCACTGGCAGTGAGAGCTTACAGACTAACGAAACAAACATGGATGTGGCCGCAAAAATGAAACTCCGAAAGTGATTCAGGAACACCGACTTAGATAATAACACAACTCGTACGGTCTCTGAGAAGTTTCAAAATTGCTTGGCCGTATTCCCGACTCATGTTGAGCTTAACTTATTTTGTCACTAGTCTTCCATCGCTGGGATGCGGAGAAGTAATGAAACAACAAATCGCGTCAGTATTTCGATTTACCGAAGACAGTTTCAAAATTATAATTCCAAAGATGCCGACACAGCCTAACGGCACTGACTGTGGATTGTATTCCGTGGCAAACCTGGTGGAGAGATGTTTCGGTGCTGATCCAGCCACCAGAGAATACAACAATGAGGTAACCTTCTAGCTCACAGTGAACATGCAATTTGTGTCTAGAAAACGAAATTTAATTCTGTTTACTTCAACACAGGACATGCGTCCGCATTTCTTGCGCTGCCTAGAAGAGGAACGGTTTACGCTTTTCCCCAGCGTACCAGTAAAGCCAAAGCGGGATGCGGTTACCGAAGTGGTCCCGATTATGTGCGATTGCCGAATGCCAAAAATGTACAGCATCGAATGGACCGTAAAATGTGCGAAGTGCTCAAAAGAGTATCATCAAGCGTGCGTTTCAAAATCTAAGAAAACGGATAAGCTGAATCGTAACAAAAGCTGGAAATGCTCGATTTGCGCCAATGAAAGTGAGTTTGGTAGGCGGAATAGCTCTAATTTACTCTTCATCTACTTTAGTTGTTTATGTACAGCTCGATTTCCAAAATGCGTTAATGCATACCGACCCGTAAACCGACCTCCATTTTTCTTTTGTAATTTTGACTGTGCGATAATAATCCTACAGAAAGGTCAAGTGAGCTGTATAATTACAACAAACATGCACTTGTAGAGATCAGCAACTCAAGTGGTACAACATCTAACCAGTTGCTGTTGCCGCAATCAGTTCAAGATTTTAGTGGATCTGAGCAACCCAACCCAGTTGCATCGCTGAACCAAGCAGAATCGTTTGACACACCTAAAGAAACTTTACCGCTGCCATCCTCAAACGACAAAGTATCGATCCGACAGTGTAATTTACTCTTGTCAGGACTGGACGTCCTCAAAGAAATGTTCACCGAGCAATCCGTAAACGCGCTGGAGCTCGATCTACTGAGCGACACACTCACCAACGCCGATCTTGTGGGATTCCGCGGAGCATTGCGACCCGACAGCGTTATACACACCCTATCGTCGCTGCGGCCGAAGGAAAAGAAACAACTGATGTTTTCCAGGCTTGGAAATCTGGAAGCATCAGTCATGCACTTCATTCACCCCGAAGCCTGGTTTGTGTTGAAGGAAAGACTCACCGCAAAAACAACACTGTCTAAACTTGAGCAGGATAAAAGTGAGTTGTTCCTAAAAGATAATACTGATTCGATTTCCATACTGTATAAAACCTTGGCTCCTTCGCAATTAATGCACAGTTTTCCTGTGAACAGAACTTAAAATAAAATTGACAATTATGTGTATAGAGGGTACCTACAGAACAATGACTTAACGGCAGCTTCTCTTTAGGAACTGAAATGGATAGAAAGGTATTGTGGTATGAAGTGCATGAAAGTCTGATGCTTACGTACGAGGATTGGATTGCATTACGTGAGGAAAGAGGGCTCGTTTCAAGTAATGTGATGAGAGCCGTTCAATGGCTGCTAAATCATCAGTTTCCTTCGGCCTTAATGCTACCGATTCCTGTTGATTTCCGAGAACCAGAAGACGCCGGAAAAAAACACCATTGACTCTATTGTCGAATTGCGGAGGCATGACTGCGGTATCGGCCTTGGAAACGAACGTCGAAAAACGCAGCTTTTGCAACTTTCGGACACCAGATGGATCATTGTATCAAATAATCATGGAGACTCTTCAGATATTGTGGACGTTTACGACTGCTTAACACCATATACGGACATTTTTGTGGAGTCGCAAATCGCGTCGCTCTTTCGGTTTGCTCAAACCGACGTCATGCGGTTGCGCTGGAAAGACATCAACCTTGAAGATGAACTGCACAATTCTGGAATTTATGCAATGCCTGCCTCACGGATATGTTCTACGGATTCGACCCCTGTAAAAAGAATACAATAAAAAGGTAAAGTTGCGCTTTTGATTTCTGTTGACCGTTCGACCGTAATGGTGATACATTTTTATAGGTGATGAGAAATCATTTGGTAACGTGTCTGGATAGCAAGAAACTGACTCCTTTTCCGAGCAAAACCAGAATGATAAGCAGCAAATCCGGCGTAACCAACGAAGTTTCGTTACGGTTGATATGCCGTTGCAGAATGCCTTTGTTATATGACGCAGAGCTAATCTGGACATGCGTGAAATGCAACAAGGTTTTTCATCGTTCCTGTGTCACCAAAGTCAAGGCTCAGGACCCCAGCAAACTTAAAGTGAAAAACTGGAACTGCAGCGAATGCAAAAGTGAGAAAAAATATATTGGCAGACCAACTAGTAAACTGCGTGATCAATTCAATAAAATTTAATGACCGACATTTTAAAACTGTAAAGACGGTCGAAGTGAAAAGAAGCATAACTTTTTTACATGGGTACTTCCTTGCAGAGAAATCGGAACCAGAGGAAAAAGTGGCGCTCGGACTCGACATAATCACAGCGAGCCAAGGAGATCGCATTGCCAGAGTCATGACCAGACGCCGACGACAAAATTCACAAGACGCGTAGACCACTGTTTCTTTTGCACCATTTTTATTGCTTGATGCTCCAGTAATGTTGCTGTCTACGAAATTAATCAACCGACAAATGAAAAAGTGCAAGTTTTCAATATTTCAACACCAGTTCTTTGCAACTAGTTTCCGAATGAGTCAACCTTA